TCTTTATTTTGCTTATTCATTTTTGTATAGGCTTGAAGAAGATATTTTGTAAACCTCTGCATTCCATACTGGTCTATAATTGTTTCTCCTCAGGGTGCAGAGCTCTGTCCCTGACCACTCAGACCTTTGTGTCATTTTTCATCCAATCAAATTAATCCAAGATACTTATCAATCAAAGTCACACATGTGAGCCACAGGCACAAATGTCACTCACAGATAAGTAAGACAACAGAAGATAGGAGAAAGGGTTGCAGCAGATGAAAATTTTATCAAATATTTACTGGACAATAATTTTAAAAGGCTTTAAGAAATAAAAAAAATAACGCCATGTGCTGACCTATTTAACTGTGTTTCCTTCATACATGAAATCACTGAAGGAGCTACCACTGGTCTTACCTTTTAGAGTTCTCTTTCTCTAAGAAAGAACATTTTCTGCATAAGTGCTTCCATGTTCATTTTATGGGCCAGCTTTGTCTTCTCAGAACTTGTTAATAATTTCTGTCCACTTGTCCATGTGCAGTTAATTCTTCACTTGCACACGTGCAAACACTGCAACTTAAAAAAATCATTGAGACTTGAACTAGTCTCTATGAAGCAGCTTCTGTGATAGCACATAATGAAAAATGTCAGTCTTCATAACGTCTTGCTGCATACAGTAGCAGTCATTCAAAATGGCTCTTCCCAGTTAAGAGCCAGCTGAATGGCAGCACACTTCCCCCCAACTCCCTGTGAAATCCCCTCAAACGTCCATCCACTGGAGTGACCCCCTGTTGCATATTTTTGTTACTCTGACTCCACCCTTTCACTGAATTACAGGGTCTGACCAGGAGATGATGCTTCTCTTTAGATCCTAATGTCAACAAATCATGACAGAAAGAATATTTCAGTACAACTATTGATGTTTCAAAAGGAATTGAAGGGGGACCAGCCAGGGGCCCCTCAAGGAAAGTAGGGAAATTTTGAATGGCTACTGCTGTAAGAATAGCATTACAAATATCTGACAAAGATATCACTTCAACGATGAGGATCTTTCTGCCCATCCATAACATGTGTTTGTTAGCATGTCTGGAAGAGCCAAAGACAACATACCTATAGAAATACAGTAGTAGCCATTCAAAACTTCCACACTTTCCTTGATTGGCCCTTAGCTGGTCCTTGTCTGGTCCTCTACAATTCCTTTTAAACATCAATCTTTGAACTAAAATATTCTTTCTGTCATTATTTGTGGAAATTAAGATCTATAGAGAAGCCCCACCTCCTAGTCAGACCATGTAATTTAGTGAAAGGGTGGAGTCAGAGAAAAAAAAAATGCACGCCCAGGAGAAGGCCAGTGGCTGGAAATTGGAGGGGATTTGGCTGGGAGTTGCAGGGGAGGAGGCTGCCATTAGGCTGGTGATTGACTGGGAAGGGCCATTTTGAATGGCTGCTACTGTAGGAGCTCCAAAGGGATGCACAAGGAAAAGATAGTGATGCTGCAACTGCTCATAACCTGAACACTCTGACGAGTTTTTCTTATATAAATAAGATACTTATACTGCAGGAATGGCATCATGGAGAATCCTTTCTATCATTTTATACCTTGAAACTGATAACTGGCCAGTGCCTAATGCTAAGTATGCCGGCCATGTTCACAACTACTACAGAAATAGCCTGTGAGAAAAAAAACAAAAACTAACCCAATATTAGGAATGGATCCTTCATTACGTGTTACTTTCTGGATGCTTGAAGCTGATGGGAAACTAACAGTATGGCACGCTGAATAAATAATTTAACTAATAATTATCTTACTACTTAATAAAGTGTATTAAGATTGGTTAGAGCAGAGCTTTTGCGTGCTCAAAAAAAGGTGCAAGTACCCAGTTAAAGCCCAACTCCCACTCTGGCTCCCTGAGTAAGACCCATTGTTTGATCCCCAGTCACAACAAGCTTCCCAATCTACCTAAAGGATGGGTCAAATCTAGAAGGCCAATGTAGTTGTATTGACCAATAAAGTCAACTAGCCTACCCATCCTACTACTACCACATAACTAAGATCTAACAGATCGTCAAGATCATCAAATTTGCGATCCCTTACACAAATTCTGGCCCATTCAGACGGGTATACATATTCTGACTGAATGTGGTTATACAAGACTGAATGTGGTTGGGAACTGAAACCAGATTGCATCATAATTTCTCATGGAAAGTAAATTTCACTTCATATGAAGCTTTAATTATAGATTGGTTTTATCAGATTCAAAACCTCAGTGTGACATATGCTGCCAATAAGACTTCTGAAATGGGAGAATTAGCAGGGAATGCATTTTCATGGATTAGCAATGTTTTCTTCACCCCGGATGATGACAGATTTTTTTTGTTTTGTGTTTTGCTTTTTTTAATTAATTAATTACAGCTGTTAACCTCTCTGTGGTTCCTGCTTGCTCTTACCGGGGCAAACTGGTGTTAAACATAATCAACAATTAATTTACTCTGTGCCTGAAGCTGTTTTCAGGAACAAAATAACTCTGTCATAAAGCTGAGATGTCACATTCCGCGATAAGTGAAATGCTGTCTGACTCATTTTTAATATGATCAATCCACATCAGACCCTAAAGGTGTTATAAATGATATTTCCTTTTATTTATAGTTACTACCAAATATATTTTTCTGACTTGCCACCTCTCACTCAGACACCTCAGTTAAACTGTTCTTTTTTTGTTCTCTTGGCTTCGGTTGTTATTGGTAACAATTAAATAATGATCAGTGAACTCATTTAAATGCACAGTGACATTCATGCAGTTCTTTGCATGGATCTTTTTTAGTTGAGTATGAGCGTGAATTAGGCTAAACATGACTTTGAGCCTTGGATGCAAACTTGGAGGCACATTTGTGATCTTTAAGGAAAAATGCTTGGCTTTGTACGTGCACAGGGTTTAATAAATCAGGATTTTTTTTTGGGCATATTCCATTTTAGTATTGATTCCAAGCAATGTTTTTAATATTGAGACCCCTGGTCTGTTGCAACAGCAGTATATCCATTCTACCACATAGATCCCAGTAAACATGTTCTATTTATAATGATAGCAGATCATGGGATACGTAAAAGATCCATTGATGCAAAATACTTTGATGTTTCACAAAATCATCTGCAACATGGCTTTGACAAACCAGCTTCGTTTTGGTTTTACAACACCATGAAAAGGTTTTACATCATTTTAACTTTTAACAATTTATAGCCTTGAATATTAGTGTATTTTTTAAATTTCATGTGACAAACTAATCCACATGTTAGTCTGTCACAATTTCACATAGACCACTATTTGATGGATTACCAGACCAGTCCCTCAAGTATAATTGTATATTTAGGTAGTCATGGTAAGCACACAATATTAATTAATTGCAAATTAATTATTCCATATAAAGTGTTCATTTTCTCCTTGCTAGTTATTTCTAAGCATTATATGCTGTTCATACGTGCATAAAAAAGCAAACAAGAAAATGCATTCACACTTTTGAGAGAGAGAGTACAAAAGACTTCAACTCTTGGAAAGTACTGCTTCTGTCAGCTTTGTTTTCTAAGAAGAAAATACATTTTTTTCTTATGGTTGTTAAAGCAATGCTGTTTTCTGTGATTAAAAGTTCAGTGTTTTTTTGCAAAGACGGCTAAGTATACAACTCAAGAGAGCAGATTCCTGACACGATAAACCGATTGACTTCTAAGAATGCATCTATCTATCCATTTCTTTGCTTTACAATATTCTGTCACACGGTGCTTTTAATTTCAGAGTTTCATATCTTGCTGTGCCCAAGAATGTGTTATACAGTAATTGCCTGCTCTCCATTTTTAGATAGTAGTACTTTTGTGCTGACAAGTCCCTAAGGATACATAATTATTTCTCTGTTTTATTCAGTTCTTCCACAGCACTTTATCATGTTGTGCAAAATACCTCCACCCCCTTTTGCAGAACTCTGATTAGACTGTTGCTGTGCTTTAGGTTTCTTGTTTGTTTCTAGTATTTTCCATTTTAGTGTGAACACTACATCTGCATTGATTTGGCTTGCTGATTTTTTATTGTTATCTAGACTTTTAGCTGTTTCATATAGTTCCTCTAAAAATGATCTCTTATCTGTCAAACCTCGTTTTATGTCATTCTGAGTTGTAATATTCATATTCTAATAAAAGCACAGCACTATGTCTCATTTGCCAACATGTATTTTTCAAAAGAAAATAAGTATTGCAACCCTTTGACAGCAGTGATACAGTAAGTCAATTTTTGGCTTTTTTTTTTTTGGTTTATGACATCGGAAATGTAAAAATGTGGAATAAGACCAGGGTCATTATTGACTTGACTGTTAAAGTATAGACTGTATTTAAATTAACACAGTTTATCCATGCCTTTTCACCAGATATTCTTGAACACACATTGTTTTAAGTGTAAGACTGTATTCAGCAATTTTTTTTTTTTTAGAAATTAGATTGTTTTTAAAGAATACTTTTTTCCTTTAGCCAAAAGTAAGGTGTTTGTGCTCTTAAAAAGTGTTATTCTTCCAAAACATGATAGAAGACAGACACAGGATTTGATTCAGCAGCTTTCAACTGCAGATGCTGATTCTAATTAAAAGGGAGTGGGTTCAGAAATGCACAATTCAAAAGTATGATTTTGCATATCTGTCGAAAGACCCATTTAGCTTTTCAATCAAATATAAAAATCTTTTTATTCTAAACCCTCTCTAAGAGCAGTTACTCGACTGTAGGAATATTTTCTATTTATTAATTTTACAAAACCAATTTTTTTATTATTATTTGGTAAGCTTTTCTGTTTTCTGCTCTTTCATTAGAACACAAAAGAAGACACATTTCAATGCACAGTAGTTAACTGGTTTCAAAGCAAGTAGGGTTTGACTCAAAATAGTCTCTTCACCCCGGATGTTCTGTTGTCCATTGTATAAATAGTTCTGAATATAACAAGAAACCTAACTCCTGATATATTTCTGTTTTTTGTTCCATTTCTTTTCCCCAGAGTTTGCAAGAGCTGTTGCTGCACGGCCGATGTCATACGCAGCAGTGTTACGAATGAGACAAGACAGCTCTTCGTCAGTGCTCAATTCGCGCAGCAAACCTCGACAGCAGCACAGTGGTTTGCTGGTGTCTCCTGACTGGCCTGCTTTCTCCAGTCACCCTCTGTCAGCCCTGAGCCTGCTCAGCTCTCAGGAGGATCTGAGGAGTGAAGGTAAAATTAATATTTTAGTCAAGCTCATCTTTTATTTGCCTCTATCTAAAATAGCACGTCATTATATTTCTATATATATATATAGATATATATAAAATTTGGTGTACAAAACAGAATCTAAGCCTGTACCGTCTGTTACTAATTACCACTAAAAATTAGTCCGTGTACCAGAAAGAGGGGATAGGGGCTTTTTGCTACTAAGCCCTTATTTATAACCAGTCGCTGGATATTGGGTCAGAAAAAAGATCTGATTACAACATACTACGTAACACATGATTTCATTCATTTTTATATTGCTCTTTTCAATCAAAAAAGATTGTTTTCCATTTTTCTGTCAATGCCCGTGCTTTGTTGACCCTAACTTTAATCATTGGGAGAGTTAATTGTGTTTTAGTTATGTTCAATTTAACAACAAGAAAAATAAGGCTACAGTAATTAGCTAACGACAGCAAATCCCACTTAGCTGTATTTAAGTCAATATGCATATATTATTCCCAAAAACAACAGTTACTTAGCAGATTATGAGGTGGTGGAAAAATCTGACTTTTCACGCAATAGTGTGTTTTTGATGTCAGCCTTATTCATACTAATATTAAGTATAGGACTGCAGCTAAATGAAAATATCTGTTGGCCATTTTTTCTTACTAATATTTGTAAGCCAAAAAGTGCACAACATAAATTTAATTTACTGAATTGGAACCAGATAAATCCACTTGGTGAGTTGCGGATTGGGCATATTTATAAAGATTTTTTTATGAATGCAAATGCTCTGATTATAGTTTACTTTTTTCATTTGAGAAAGTTGCCTATTAGTGAACATATGAAAATGACGTTAGTTTAATATTTTTTGAATAAGCGAGTGATTGTGATTCATCAGATAATGCTCTTTGTTCTTGATTTGCTTTTTTGAACTGTGTGAAGGAAAAAAGAGCCAATTAAGTTTTTTGAAGCTACTTTTAACCCTGAATATAAATGGACTAAAGGAGCTCTTTAGAATAGTCGTGCATAATTTCTTATGCATGACTAAAGATAATGAATTGGAAAGCACTTTTTGACTTTTTGATTATACACCCTGATGTTTTTTTTTTTTTAGGCATTTAAAACCACAAGAAAAGGAAAGCTAACAATGCAAATTTCACTGAATTTTCTGAAAAGAGTGTTATGTGTAATTAACTGTTAACATGAACTCTAACCTCTTCCTGACCTCTAAAATGTGATTTCCTGACATTGGTCCCGCATTTCCTTTTCAATCACTATCACATTTTATACCAGTTTTTATCAAACTAGTGTGAAACTAATAGGCCTCACAGTACTCCCACAAGGTAACAAAAACAAGTCCACACGCACATAAATGCAACAAAATGTAGAAGACTATAATAGGTATAGCTCTTGCAACAGACAAAAAGATATAGCCCAGGTATTTCAGTGTCTGACTGAACTCCTATAAAAATGATTGGTGTGAATACACTTTGATATTTCAGGTCTCTTCCAACACTCTCCCCTCAGGTTTCCCACACATCCTGTCTGTCTGGAGTTGATCTTGCAATGTATCTTACCATTCTGTTATCACAGTGCATTGTCTGGACTGACCAGGTTATGGCCTTTGTGAAATTGAAGTAAGCTCATGCCTGTATTCAGCTCCCTTTGAGTTGATCTCCAGATATAATGGATATCTCTTCCTTAGAGAAAGTTGTGGTTTTCATTCACACATACTGTAAGATAACCTCAAAATAAGAATGATAGATCATTTTTATAACTTGTGCCATGAATTTTAATGCCATGTTAAAATTGTCACACCTCTTTTTTGCACTTAAAACAATAATAATTTTTTTTTACCTCTACTGAAACATTCAATATAAAGTCAGACTTCCATTTTGTCATTTGAGGGTATTCATGTTAAACTTTCATTAAGGGTGCAGGAGATTCAGCTCCTAAACATGTGCCACCCTATTTTTAAAGGGACTTAAAGTTATTAGAGAGTTGACTCAAATGCTGTTTTATGGGCAAGTGTGGGCAAGTGGGCAATTCCTTTGTTATATCATTCACAGTCAAGCAGATGAAGTACCTGGAGTTGATCTTAGGTATGGTGCTCGCATTTAGAAGATTTTGCTATGAATATGCATTCAAACGAGCTCTCCATACATGTGAAACAAGCCATCCTTAAGCTGTAAAAGCAGAAAAAGCTCACCCGAGAAATTGCAGTAGTTATCTGAATGACAAAATCTACAGTTTGGTACAACCTGAGAAAGAAAGAGGATTGGTGAACTCATCGATACAGAGAGACCTGGACGCCCACGGAAAAAAACAGTCGTGGATGATTGCAGAATAATTTCCATGGTGAAAAGAAACCTCTTTAAACCAGGCAACCAGGTGAACAACTCTGCAGTAGGCAGGTGTTTCAATATCCAAGTATACCATTAAGAGAATACTGGATGAAACTTAATACAGAGTGTTCACTGCTCAATGGAAACCTCTGATAAGCCTGAAGAATAAAAGAGCTAGATTGTAGATTGCTAGAAGAAAAAAAAAAAAAACATAAAAAGCCACCAAAGTTCCCATACCTGTTCCCAGCTTCTACCCTTTCACCTGCCTGGGGTCAACAGTAAGAACAATATTCATGGGTGGAAAGGAGCCTGGAACTGCTGTGCCGAATCTGGAAAGCCTTCACCCTTATGGATGTCATTACTTAGCGAAAGCACAGCTTTTCCTGAAAACACATGTAGCAATATGATGAAGCTCTCCATTATAAAACCCCAAAAATATGAAGCTAAAGGACATTTGCATGTGTCAAACAGGGCACATGTCACAAAATAGTGGATTTTTGTTGAATAAGGTTGTGTGTGCCAGGTCCATCAAACAAAAGATTATGGCCAACTGCATTATTCCTTGTTGTCAGCACTATTTTATAGCAATTATTGTGGTGACCGAAGATTTGCTTCCTTATTGGCATAATGGTCCCAGTTATGATTTTAGGTATTCGGATTGAGCCTCTGATCCATAGCATACCACATGATCTGTACAACATGGGGAAGGCAGGTTGATGGTTTGGGCATGCAAGGCTGCCAATGGCTAGCCTGGGTGCCATTCCGAACTTAGTCCTGCCCACAACGTTTGAGGTCAGGAAGTTCGGTCTGGCATTGCTCAATAGTTGCGCGAGTATGCTCGCACAATATCTGGCAGGCCAATCAAATTGTCAGGGCGGGCTTTATACGATGATGGACAGATGATCAACAGTAACGTAATCAACCACATCACCAAAGCGCGCTTGGGTGACAAGAACAATGGCTGCCGCTGGAGAGTTGAGGTGTGTAGATTCTGCTATTAGGTCTGTTCTAGAAGATATCGACAGCAAATAAATTTTAAAAGAGGAACAGAGAAACGCGATCAAGGCTCATCTTCTTATTCTAGGCGTGCAACTGCACGCTTTGATTTTTGTTGACAACAACTATGCGTCGCTTAACATACGTCACACACTCCGTTGCTCTTATTGGTTGTAGGTCTATCCAATTGAGTACAGAGGCATTTTTTTTCCTGGTTTGTTGGAAACACGCCCCATAATCACAGCTCTATGGAGCAGTATCAGACTCATATTCTGACTAGAATGGAGTAGGACTACATCAGGTTAGGCAATGGCACTGGGTCATTACTGTTTATTGATGATGTGAAGACAGGACAGAAGCTGCCAGATGACTTCAGAGGTATTTAGATACATACTGTTTGCAAAAAATGATGGCCAATGACACACAATATAAATTCAAAGCAACCCAGGAGTTGATAAAGGAAACAAATGTGATATTCTTTAATGGCCAAGTCACTCACATCGTAATAAGCCAATAGAAAATGCATTCAACTTGTTAAAGAGAAAACTTCAAACAGAAAGATCCACAAATAAAAAGCAACTAAAAACCTATGTATTAAAAACCTGGCAGTGCATTACAAAGGAAGAAACAGCATTGGGTGTGTTCTCCATACCCTGAAGAATTCAGGCAGTCATCACCAACTCTTTTCAACATAGTGTTGGAAATGAGCATTTAATTTAGTTATTGAAATTGTTCAGTTACCTAGAAACAGTTGCCTGAAATGAAGTAATTGTGTTTAAAAAAGGATTTTGTTTTCTCACATTTTTATGCAACTATTTTGTTCAATCTACTAAATTAGAGCTGAAAGCCTGAACTTTAACTGCATCTGAATATTTTTGTTCAACATTTGTTGTGTTCATGTACTGAAACATATAAAAAAATATATATGCTGTCTCCATCCTTATATTTATAAACCTAACTGCACATTTCAATCACAAACTTCACGTTTTGTGAAAACTAGGCTTTTTTTTTTCTGAAAACAAGAATATGAAATCGTAAAAGTGTAGCATGCAGTTTTATTCAATCCCCTTGAGTCAATGCTTTGTGGAACAGGCTATCTATTTAAACAGCAACTTTCAAGTTGTAGCATCTGATTAGGTCTTGACTTTCCCCAGGTCTTTCTAATACACAATTGTCCCTTGATCTAAACTGTTCCTTTGTGGCTATTGCATTTTGATGCTCCTTATGAAGATAGCAGACTAGGTGTTATTTAATAGGTTAGATAGTAAAAACAGAGTGGTGTTTGTGTTTTATATATTGTATAGTTAGTATAGTAAGTTAAATTTCGTATATTAAACATTGGACTCACTTGAAAAGACCACCCTCCTCCATGTGTTTCATCTAAATGGTTTGCTGTGAATGTCAAAAGGTACTTATTTCTTTATTTTAACAACAAAATTATTTTTCATTGAATGTGTTGCTCAACAATATATAGAATTTAAGTTGTCAGCATAAGTCTGTGCAATATTGGAATCGCTCAAGACTGTGTTGATGCATAATTTAATAAGCTGAAATCTTTTAGGGGCTATGCATTACAAAGCAGTTTACTAATGAAATATTGGAAACTTGGGTGGACTTCTGCTGTCTCATATATATCTTTGTGACCAGGATCATAAAACCTAGTCAGAGTAGTGAGGAAAT